TAAGAACATGCTCCTTGCATTTTCTTATATTGGATTCAAAGATTTATAGGAGACTGTAACTACACAACACCAACCTCAGGCGTTTGTGCCCCGGGCATCCTAACACCCCTGCAATGATTATTATGGCCCAGTTTATCTAAACCACAAACAGCCTTTTAGAGTCCCCATTTATAGTATGTCCATGTCTCAAAAGTGTTGCTTACACAGCACAAGAGTTTTCAGTAAAAGAGTGATTCACCACCAGCATGTCTCAATTCTGTTTTTTTCTTTTTGCAAATAAAAGGTTTGGAAACCAACGAAACACCATTTTTCTATGCAAACAATGAGCTTATCATCTTAACTTACAATACATTTTTTGAGTAATTTGACAAATCTTTACTTAAAAAAAAATAAAGTTACGCTTGATTTGCACTAACAGGTTCTTCCTTTTGGGGTACAGGTTCCCGCAAGATGGAATTTAAGGGAAACTACTGGCACGAAACCTGCTTTGTGTGTGAACATTGCCGACAACTAATAGGAACCAAACCTTTGATTTCCAAAGAGAGTGGCAATTATTGTGTGCCGTGTTTTGAGAAGGAGTTTTCTCACTACTGCAGCTTTTGTAAGAAGGTACTTATCTAAGAGGATGGAGTTTGTGGAACCTTCCAGACAAGTCCATCTTTTTCACCATAAAACTCCACTCAGAACATGAATTTAATATCCTTTTTTTTTTCCCCACGCAAGAGACTTTATTCTCTGAAGGAGAGAGTGGCTGCCCCCAGGGAGAACAGGAGGACAGAGACAAAGAGAGAGACAGACAGACAGACAGAGGGAGAGAGCAGCAGAGACAGAGAGAGCCAGAGAAAGGGCAGCAGAGAGACAGACAGAGACAGAGAGGAATTTAATATCCTAATATCTCAAGTGATTTGATATTCCATTCACAGCTGTTATGCAAGATTTCATGTATTCTGGTAGATGGCACACATCTCTCTTTGAATACAAAATAGTTCTTAGAATATAGTTTGATCCATTTAATTTCAGGGAAATACGGATTTGTCTCTCAGAGTGACTAAGAGAACCCATTTAACCAGGATGCTTAATTCTTCACATCATCTCCCAGCCACAACACATGTCTTCCTGGCTTAAAGCTTTTATATTTCTAAAGGTAGATAGGCAGGCTCAAGAGAGTGATGAGATCGTAAGGGTAGTTCATTAGACAGAAAGACAGACAGAAAAAAAAAGACTAAGAGCTTCAAGTGGTTTCCTTTACTTCCTGTTCCAGAGTGTCACGTGGCACCTGTTAACTTGGGTGCCTATATCCTCTAAGCTTGTATGTCAAAAAGTCACTCACCTCTGTCACCTTGATTAAACCTGTCTGTATTCCATAAAAT